TGATGGCAGGCAGTAAGTAATCTCTTTATTTTCTCCTCTCTTCTTGGATGCGAACACAGAAATTAGCTGGAAATTGTTGCTAGTGAAATACTACTCTCGGCAGATGCAAAAAGACAGTAATTTTGGAGTTTGCCAAGCATTAATCAGGAGCAACTTTAATAGAGAGTTATTAGCCCTGGCAGGGTGAGAAAGGCTTCATCTTGTTTTAATGAGAATGGACTTGTATCTCCACAACCAGCAAAATTACAAACTCATTAATAACTTGTGGTGGAATATGTTCTCTGTAGCATCGAAGAAAACAAATCTGCAGACCCCAAGGTTGAAGAAGAATGATACAAAACAAGTTAAATACCAAGAAAAATTAATTTATTAGCAGGCACATTCTTTTATTTTTCTAACATTCTAAAATAAACCTGTCAAATCTTCATCACTGTGCTTTTTGGTGTGAAGTTTCTCTTCATTATCATTTTGGATTTCTTAACAAAACCATTATCCTCCTGCACATTATAGTCACCATAAAGACGTGATTCCTGAAACTTTAAATTACTTGAGGGTTTTTTGTTTATTTGCTTCTGGGTAAGGCCAACAGTATTAAGAGTTTCTAATGAAGGCCATCAGTATGATTTCCTGTTGATTAGCACCTATGGTTAAATTACTTGAGGGTTTTTTGTTTATTTGCTTCTGGGTAAGGCCAACAGTATTAAGAGTTTCTAATGAAGGCCATCATTTCCTGTTGATTAACACCTATGGGAAAAAGTTGGGTTTATTGTGGTACTTACAAAGCATTATTCATGGTGTCTTAACCTTCATACCTATTCATAAGAAAGTGTCTATATCTCACAATGTTACGGGACATTGAAGTAGTACGGCTGAATGACTTCTCTAAAGGTATTCAGGTATTACAGGTATGAAAGCTGACCATGGAAAAGCCAGGAACTTTATAAATCTACGCAATTATTTCTCCCATAGCAAAGCCCTGAGGGACTTAGGAGGGGAGAGGAGGAGGGCTTGGAAGCTGTTCAGTTGTACACTTTTTCTAGTGTCCAATGGACAATAGTTTTCAAAGGCTGGGTTTTGGCTGTGTTGCAATGGAGCCTAGGACACGATGTCACTTCCACCTCTCCATGGCCTCCCTATTTGCAAAACATAGCAGTTATAGTATTTTGATGCCTGTCCACACTGATTAATGGAAGATGCTCATGTAGCCCACACCAAGTGTCCTTCCTATGGCTGACTTGGACGTACCGCTGGATCCTTCTAGCTGAAGGAATTACACATCAGGAATTACAACAGTTAGTAACTAAAAGGACATGTGAAGAGCCTCCTTGGCCAGCTCAGGCTTTAGACCTAGAAGAAGGGCTGTTAAATAATTTACTCTACATTCCTGCCTACCACAAGCCACCACATGGCTCCCAGCTACCCAGTGCTTTACAGGAATTCAGCCTCAGTCCTTCACGTATTAACTTAAACCATAGGACTAGCAAGGTTTCTCTTTGCTACGTGTGTTGATTTACAGACACTTTCATATCTACACAGAAGTGTTTGCTTGCTCATGTTGACAATAGAAATAAGGGACCGTGAAGGGATTTGCTTACAGGGTTGGGCCATGGCAATGGGTTCTTTAAATAGCTGTGTGACTTTTATCTGTGTACCTGGATTTGATTATTAAGCACTTTTTTTTAATGATCAGCAACAAAGTAAATAGGTTTATTGCACTTGAAGAGGCCTCTCTTCTCAAGTGACAGATTATTGCACCTTTCCAAATTATTGCTAGTGGAATGAGAAATGCTGCTATTAAAAGGCCAGGGCTTTTCATTGATTTGAATGTTCCTCTTTTAACAACTTTGGCAGCATCAAAGAGGCTTAAAGTGGGAGTAAATTATACTGGTATGTTTTAGTTTAAACATGACTTTAAACGAGATTTTAAGCCAACTTTAAGGCCAACTGTTTGTAAAGGGGGTCTTAATGGAATTGGGAACTATGCCCAGAGCAAACACATAGCCTATTTGGCAGTGATTATCAATGTGTTAACAATTTAGGGTTCTAAATACAGGGTAACTAATTACTAAGATGCTTAAATACACCTTCAGATACTGCAGGAGCAGCAGGTTTAGAAATGCATTTTAATAAAATTTGAGTCTTTTAACAAGGATGCTGAAGAAGACAGGAAAAGGGCTTTGCAGAGGTGTTCATCTCGTTGGTTGTGGAATTGCAGTGCTTGGGGATGCATTAACCCATAGAGCCTTGGGTTAAGGCATTTTCTTCATGGACAACCTTTTGTTTGAGGCATCTGAAACTGTAAGGAAGACAAAACACTGGGAAATATATAGTACAGTACAAGCTAATCAGGAATGATTGACAGGAAGCTCAACATGACCCCAAAATGTGCACTTGGAACCCAGATAGCCAACCGCATCCTGGGCTGCATCAAAAGAAGTGTGACCAGCAGGTCAAAGGAGGTGATCCTGCCCCTCTACTCTGCTCTTGTGAGACCTCACCTGTAGTACTGTGTTCAGCTCTGGGCATGCAGCATGAGAAGGATGTGGACCTGTTAGAGTGAGTCCAGAGGAAGCCACAAAGATGATCTGAGGGCTGGAACAGCTCGCCTGTGAAGGTGGGCTGAGACAGTTGGGGTTGTTCGGTCTGGAGAATAGAAGCTTTCCAGTACCTAAAAAGGGGCTACAAGAATGCTGGAGGGTTTTTTTTTACAAAGGCATGTAGTGACGGGACAAGGGGAATGGATTTAATTTAAAGAGGGGAGATTTAGATTAGATCTTAGGAAGAAATCCTTCACTAGGAGGGTGCTGAGGCACTGGCACAGGGTGCCCAGCGAAGCTGTGGCTGCCCCATCCCTGGCAGTGTTCAAGGCCAGGTTGGACACAGGGGCTTGGAGCAACCTGCTCTAGTGGAAGGTGCCTATAGCAGGGTCTTGGAACTGGATGAGCTTTAAGGCCCCTTCCAATCCAAACCATTCTATGATTCTATGAATGGATGAAATTACCTTAGTAATTTCTAGACCTTGACTTCCCTTGTCTGAACTTTGTAGAGATACATTCTTATTATTTCAGCCATCACTTCTTGTCACAAAAAAGGGCTTCTGGACCTCATGTACCCAAGCAGGGTCATAGCCTACAAATAACCCTATTTGTTTCTGTGCCTGAGCTCCTGGGCCCTGCTTGACTCCCATGTGCAGATCCGGGTTTCTGTGCAGTAATCCTGGTAGAAAAGGTGCCTTTTTGCATTGTCACTGGGCTGATTTGCATCCTTCCTGCATCACAAGCATGGCCGCTGCTGTTAAATGTCACCCACAGTTTGCTCTGCAGTCACTGGAGAGTGCAGAAGGCAAATGTACCTCTGCCTCTGTGGGTTTCTATGAGCTAAGGTACTCCAGCACTCCATTATCATCTCAGTAGTCGTGACCTGAACGTGTCTGCTGTAGTAGCATCACTGTGTTACACGAAATCCCTTTTTTACCTTGATTTGCTTTGATCAGATTTTTTATCTGATTGTCTGATTTTTAATTAACTTGTGCTTTTGGGTTTTTTTCTTGCTTGCCAAGGAAATGGAGATCAGGAAATGGAAACTTGGCAGTATCCTCCCCATAAAAGTTTTCCTTCCTTTCTCACCATGCTGGCAAATATTTGTTCATGGCTAATGGGAGAAACACTAACTTTATGAAGCTTCACTTACACTCATCCAACTTACAGTTCCCACAGTGGCTGCATGTAGGACAAAAGCATGTGCCAAAAGACAGAGGTGGAAAATCACTGCAGAAATATTCAAGTTGTTTGATTTTGTGGGCTAGGAAAATATCATGAGAACTCCAGTGAGACCTGGACGAGCCCATCATAGACAGGTCTAAGAAGAGCCTCATCACTACTTTAGGATTCACAGAGAGCACTTCTGCTGAACGATGCAAATGGTGGCTGTCAGAGTGTTTAGAGGAAATAATACATTATTGATTGATAGATTGATTGATTTGAATTGTTATAGCCATACTGTGGTTTCATTGCTTAGGACTAGGACTCTGTCAGGAGCTGAACTGCATGTGTGTTGTGTTATAGGGATGGAGATAAGCAAAACATTTTTCAGACAGAGGCAGGTGAATTTGTGAATCATGACGTTCACAGCCAGTTACCCAGATTTTGGCTTCAGAGGTTCTTTTCCTTCCCTAACCCCATCTCTACTCAAGTCCAAGGGCTAGGGCGTTGTAAGGCAGCAGCCGCTGTGCTATTAGCAGTGTTGCAAGAAGAGACGAAATGGCCAAGACATCCTCAGGAGGTTTGTGATGGAGTTCTGGATCTGTGGGTTTCAGATCACCCATACACCACAGATGTCCATGAGTCGTTGTTTGTGACGATGGTGGACTCCTAGGCCTGCTCCTGGTACCCTTGTGGATTTATGGGATCCCGTGGTTTGGATGCAAGACCCACATATTTATGGATAAGCCTGAGGAAGATGAGGCCAAACAGGTCCACATGAGCTTTCACACTGCAATACGATGACCTTTACCTTGCTTGTTGACCTGAAGGGCAGTGACTGATGCATGAGGAAGCCTTTAAGCAGCCAAGAGAGGCCCTAGAACCAGCTCTCAATCAACAGGGATAAGCTATAGGTGGCACAGTCCTTTGCCAGAGCCAAGCACCACAGGGTAACCCAGGCTGGACACACCACTCCTTCTTCTCATGTGTCAGAGGGGGAGGTAGACATGTTCCCTCAGATGAGAGGGACCTCTGCTTAGATAGGAGAGGTCTGGAAAATGCTGAGTACCAGCAGACTGGGGCTATGCAGTTTAAATACTGGTCCAAGCTGCAAAGCATTTGCCCTAAGCTGGTATCTGAAGGGATTTACAGGAGAGCAGTGACAGCTCGCTTTACGTGGCTCTTTTTGAGTTATTCTTTGGTTTCCTTGCAGACCTGAGGGGATTGTAATTGAGGACTAGTCGCCAAAGGGCTTTCAAGCCCCTTTTCTCTGGAACACTCTCCAAGCTGTGTTTGCTTTTTTGTAGGCCACTGCCCAGACCACCACCATGACCCCCACCACGACTGAGACCTACACACGGACTCAGTACTGTAAGTGGCCATGCGAGTGTCCGAAGTCCCCACCTCGGTGCTCAGTAGGAGTCAGCCTGGTCACAGACGGCTGCGACTGCTGCAAGACGTGTGCCAAGCAGCGTGGAGAAAGCTGCACTGAGGCCGACACTTGTGACTTCCACAGGGGCTTGTACTGTGACTACAGTGGAGACAGACCTAGGTACGAAATAGGAGTATGTGCACGTAAGTGATGTACATATATTTTTGACTTAGACACTCACTGGCAGCTCCCCTCAGTCTGAGCCATGGCTGAGATTTATCTCACTAGATACCTGAGCTCATCAGCTCCTCCGTTCATCATCTTCCATTTCCTTAGAGCTGTCTTCATTCTCAGGGCAGTTGGCTGGATGAGAAATGACATCTGAATTTCTGCTCTGTGACTTGGTTGCAGCCAAGAGCAATGAGCAAACCAGCATTTGAGGGACTCTAGTGGTAGGACAAGGGGTAATGGCTTTAAACAGGGGAACTTTAGGTTAGATCTAAGGAAGAAGTCCTTCACAGTGAGGGTGGTGAGGCACTGGAATAGGTTGCCCAAGGAAGTTGTGAATGCTCCAACCCTGGAGGTGTTTAAGGCCAGGTTGGACAGAGCCTTGGGCGACATAGTTCAGTGTGTGGTGTCCCTGCTCATGGCAGGGGGGTTGGAACTAGATGATCTTAAGGTCCTTTCCAACTCTAACTATTCTATGATTCTATGATTCTATGATTTGAAGGTCTTCAGATTTGCAAGTAGATGATTCTAGACTTCCCACAACAGAAGGAGGTGTTGCAGTGGGTTGGGCATGAAGGAAGTATAGATGTGCAGCTGTCTTTAAAGACACCATATTGGGTGTCTACATTGGCTTATTCTCAATAGTGGATCCCTAAGGACAGCATGTGATATTCTGTCAAGAGGGTCAGGCTCAAATCATCTCCTAGCAAATTTTTTTGGTGGCAAATTGAGTTCTGAGCCTTAATCTTACAGCAGTTTCAGTCATGTTAGCTGCCATGAAGCAGAAGGATTTCTTCCTCTGCCTATCATAATGAAATCTCGGTGGGATAATTCATTGACTGGAATGTTTTTATTCAAAAAGAAATGAGGTAATGTTTTATGTGTCTGGGATATATTCACTTGTTCTGAGATCCAGAACATGGGGGGAATCTAATCTGCTCATAAATGTCATAAATGATTGAAAATCATTACTCTGGCAATGATTAAAAGGGAAAAGATCATGAGCAAAATCACAGAGGTAGCTGACCAGAAAGAATGCTGACTGTTTAGCATGTTATTACAACACATTGGTAACAGCTTTAGATTCATAAACAGGAAGAAGACACTTAAAGGGAGGATCTTCTAGGCTAGAATATAACCATGAACGGTACTAACAGAAAATGCAAATTGGAAGGAAACCTGGAGGAGAGTTGATTGTGAGATGGATGGAATAGCAGATCCACAGAAAAGAGAAAAGATTGCAAACATTGGGCTCCAATAAACTTATCAGCAGAAGGTTTGCAAGGGGCAAGCCTAAGCAGTAAAGAGGTTTAGCATTGCTGGCAGAAATACTAAGGCTTGTAAGGAAGTGTAGTAAGACATGAACTTGGCTTTGCACTAGCTCATCCGCAAAAACCAAGCACGCAGAAAGTGCAATCTAAACAGATTTTGTAGGGTACGGACTAAATAACAGCAAGAGAAATTGTATACAAGGAGCTATAAGCTTAAATAGTGATTTTCAAGATTAGAAAAGATCCAAGGTTAAGAAAAGAGTATATGAGATCATTCAAATATATTGCCTGGAGTGTGTGTGCAGCATTCATGGGAGATCTGTAAGAACAGGTTAGACAAACATCTGTCAAGAATGACATTGCTACAGCTGGCCTTGTGTTGGGAGAGGAAAACAAGCTGGATGTTGTCTCAAAGCTACCTCAGCCTTCCTAGACCTTCCTATTGCTTCACTTTTGTTTATTTAAACGCTTGCTTTCTTGGTTGGATATTTTTGGGGTTTTCTGTAGTCCTCCCATACATGACAGTCATTCAGTATTCCTGTGGCAACAGCACTGTGATGATCCCCAGCTGCCCCAATGAGATCTGGAAGGATTCCCAATCTGCACTTTCACATCCCTACTGCCATGACAATATATCCCCTATTATCATAGAATAGTTAGGGATGGCAAGGACCTCAAGGTCATCTGGTTCCAACCCGCTGCCATGGGCAGGGGTGCCTCACACTAAGACCATGTCACCCAAGGCTCTGTCCAATCTGGCCTTGAACATTGCCAGGGATGTGACATTTATGGCTATACGATGAGGGGTACTGTGGCATGCACAGCTGAGGGGCACGAGAAGTAGGTCTTTCCATGGTTAGGATGTGAAGCTGCTTGTCTCTGGCTGCCATAGAAAGCTGTGGTCTTCCCCTTGCTTTGAGCATCCAGGTAGATGCACATGACAGGATCTGCTGATGTGTTCTTTCTCATGCACTGGGTCATATATAGGCCACATCACCCCACTCTGAGTACACCAGCTACTGCCCTGACTGCAGGGTGAGTGAAGGCAAGAGTGGGGCTCCTTGAGCTGGGTGTTGGGGACTAACTGCTGTGAGGAATTTGGCTTACAGCTGGCTGCCAAAATGTAGGTCTAGAGAATCCAGTGCATGCAGGACTACAGAAACAATAGCATTTGTGGAAAATAGAGATTCCAAAAGAGCCAGGAACTGGTGCTGGGAAAGGGAATGGGATGAGAATGTGGGAAATTCAGGCTGTATTTGGACTGGCATGGTGAGATGTGTCCAGCATCTGGTCACCTGGACATCAGATAGGAGCCTCTGTGATTCACCACACGTTTTGTTGTTGGCTTTTTTCTGCACAGAAGCAGAGACAACAGGGTACTGAGCACATGCCCAGGTGGGGAGGCAGGCATTGTGCACTTGAGGCCAAGAATAAGGATGTACCAGAACAGGGATGTGCTCCCAGATTGCCTAATTTAGATGCAGACTCAGCGAGGTTCTGCATGAAGGCATTCAACAGCCCCTTTGTCTACATCTTGGAATGTTCTCCTGATGATCCTCATGATATATGAGACCTGAATGAGGCTGAGTTAACACAGTCCAGGAGGGATATGCCGGTAGAAAATACCAGGGAATACAGCATTTTCTTGAGCTGTCGTAATCCTTGTGTACACCTCGAAGTTTACCTGAGTTCTCAGCTCCAGCTCCAGCACTGAGTGATGTCTTTTCCATACAAAGGTGGAAGTACGATCAAAACTGGAGCTGAGCCTGAACTGCAGATCTGGAACCTGTTCTGCAAATTGCAACAACTCTAATTTTTGTACAAAAGAAGGGGTTTGTGTTTGATGTTTTCATTCAGCCCATTCTAGAAGTAGGAAGCCTTTGCAGAATTGGAACCCAGCATTTCAACCTGTGCTGGTGCAGCCACACGGCAGGTCCATTTCCAATCAGACTCAAACTTTAAGCAACCTGATCGGTGCCTGCACACTGCCTCCGTGTGACCAAACCAGAAACTGAAGCTCGAATTTTCCATTAGAAGATTTGTGTTCCAAATAACAGTTACAACTTTGAAACAAGAAAGTTGCTGCTTTTAGAATCAATGTGATTTCTGTTCATGGGCAATCAAAAAGATTGATTTTTTTATGTGATTTTATTTTAAAATTTTCATCAAATACTAATTTTTGTAGCTTTATAATGTGTTAAATTCATTTTCCAAGAAAACTGTTCTGTGACAAACTGGGTGGTATCTGGTTGCCTAAATATAGGAATTGAGTGTCATTTTAAGCAGTCCTTCATTTGGTGTTCTGCTTTTGCTTCAGAAGGTGTTGCGAAACGCTGAGTAGTATTTGCAGCTCTATGTGGTCCTTTCATACGTCCCTGAAAACATCAAATTTCACTTAATATCTGCTTTAATTACTTTTATTGGTCCTTCTTTTGCCAGCGTGCTACAAAATGATTTTTTATGTGAGCATTTTTGGATAAAGCTTGTTTTATTTTCTAACTTCTCCATGAAGCATTTAAAGATTCTTCTTTTTTGCTGTGATTCAGAACGAAAGCAGTTTCCTAGATGGTGTGACCACAGTTGGCTCAGCATCATGCTGAACACATCACCCTGCAGACGCGTCTCCACATTGGCTCCATTAGCCCAGGGAGCAGCTTGGTAAAGGAGCACATCAGCGCTGTTTGTTGCCATCATTATTCTAACAGTGCTCTGTGTGTCTTTCTCTCTTTTTCTTTCCTTTCAGAGATTGTCGGTGTAGGATGTGTCCTCAATGGAGTCAGGTATAACAATGGGGACACGTTTCAGCCCAACTGCAAATACAACTGCACGTGCATTAACGGGGCTGTGGGCTGTATTCCTATGTGCACAAACTCACGTCCTCCCCTTGTCTGGTGCCCAAACCCAAAGCTGATTAAGTTAGCAGGGAAGTGCTGCGAGCAGTGGATTTGTGATGACTCCAAGAAAATCAGGAAGACGTCTCCACGGCACATCTCCTCTGCAGGTATGGTGAGACTGAGGTGGATGTCTCTGTCACCAGGCAACTGGAAGTCAGACTCTACAACCAAAGTATTAGCTTGTACTGCCAGACCTGACAGGCATCTGCTCTTCATGTGACTGAGGAACAGAGAGGTTCCTATACAGCATGTAGTGAAGGAGAGGACATGCAAACACCAGTGATGTGCTTGAACTCCTTAGCAGCAATGTGAGATTCACCATACCTGCTTGTGTGACAAAGGCTCTTCTGAAACACACATCTACTGACACATGTGAACCAGCAAGATGTCACAAATCCTTTTAACATCACCATTTTCTATGCAGTCTGGGCCTTCTGGAAAACAGAATGGGTTCAGTTTAATCTGGGACTGAAGCTTTCTGTCTGGCTTATAGGCTAGATGAGAGGAAGAAATCCTTTCCTGTGATGGTGGTGAGGCGCTGGCACAGGGTGCCCAGAGAAGCTGTGGCTGCCCCATCCCTGGCAGTGTTCAAGGCCAGGTTGGACACAGGGGCTTGGAGAAACCTGCTCTAGTGGAAGGTGTCCCTGCCCGTGGCAGAGGGTTGGAACTGGATGAGCTTTAAGGTCCTTTCTAACCCAAACCATTCTGTGATTCTGTGATTTTAAAGCCCCTGTATTTTAGTAGTCCCAGACTTACAAAACACCTTCAAAACATTTATTGTGGAAGTTTCACTGCCAGTTCACAATTCTGGACTGATTGAACTGAATTCTGACATTATCGAACTATATCATGTATCACATAAGGTATCTTCTTTCCTCACACTCACATTCGTAGTGAGGATCATGTAGCTCACTGCACAGAGGTGGTGCCATTTGCCTCAGATATAATCCCAAAGGTTTAAGATGGGCTTACCCTGCTATATGTCTTAAATTTATCCTATGACACCCTGTGATGCAATGTTGTAACATTAGCCACATTAGCTCCATATTTTAGACACAAAAGCAGAGCTCAAGGACACATGGGATGCTTGTTGTAAACCCTGGTAAGGGTTTTATTCCCAATCCTTGATCTGTATTTTTGTTGCACGAAACAAAGTCTCAGTCTCTGTTTTGTGGGTTAAACCCACTAGAGTTTAACCCTCACTTTTGTCCATGGTAAATTTGAACTGTGAGGTAGGTTCAAATTCAAAACATCTAATATAGATAATTAATAATATAGCAATAATTAGCTAACAGCTAATAATAATTAGCTTTATGTCTTCATGGCCTGTGTCCCAGAATGGGCATAACAGAGCTTGCCTGACCTTTTCTTTCATAATTAGAAGCTTTATAGAGGGCAGATTAGCAATTATTATATTTAATGTAATAATTAATATAGTAATAACTATACTAGTGAGCGAGCTCAATGCAGCAGTTTCTACCAGAGCTTTGCCTGCGGGCTGTATTGTGAGTCGCAGATCAGTGGGGACCTTGGCCAAGGCTGTGAAGGAACCTGAAGTGGGATTGTCAGCTGCTTTCAACACAGAGCCCACCC